CCATCTAGAGGCGTTTTTGATGCAGTAACTAATTTTTTGCGAATTTCTTTAGGATGTAGAGCATTCTAGTGCCATATGCACAATTTTGATAGAATTGGTAAAATGCCAACAAAAGGAGAGCTGTCAAAATTTTCAAAAAAAAAGAGGAATATATTCAAAGTTTTCATGCACGCAAGCATCGTAACTATAAGAATGGAGATTAGGGATAGAGAGTAAACTTACTTGATTGGAAACCTCATACTTCCAGCCTCCAAAACGTCCTCTGGAATAGATAGAGTGTTTTTCAAGCTCACGATGAGCTCGTGCCAATTCAGGATCTCGCTGAAAGTCACATTTTACTTACAGTATGTTATGACTTAGTATAAATAAATTTGTTCTTGAAAATTTACGGCTGCGTACGTTAAGCTATTAATTTGCGTTTCCTTTATTGCAAATTGTTATGTCTGAGGTTGAATTTGAGTGCATAGATCTTAGTATCCCTTCAAAATCCCAACTACTTACAGCAGGTGTGGGAATGGGATATCCGTATTCTAGGGTTGTAGAGTAGACCGAGACAATTTTATCTCGTTGGATCATGCTTTTGATAACGAGACCATCAATTGCTTGCTTCACCACTTCTTCCTCAGTTATCTGAAAATCCAGAATATGGTTGAGAAAAGCAATGTTTTTACAATAAAAAAAGCCATATTTAAAACGAAAATTTCTTGCAGCATTCAAAATGTCTATTAAAAAACTTCTTGGAAAAATCCCTCCTTTACCTAGCTGGAAGCTCCCCAAAGTCATTATCAGATTCAGAAAATTGAAAAATGATTTTTTTAGTCACAGATGAGGCCGGTTCTTTTTTCAATGATAGATTACACTTTTTCTTGGTGTAGAACTATTTCGAATCTCACCGGATCATCAATCGGTCGTGCGCATTCGCACATGACCGACCAGTACTTGTTGCTATCCGGTGTCACCTGTAATTATATCTATATTCAACTGGAAAAATCTCATCTATCAACAGAGTACGCTGAAGGCATGACATAAACACAGGGATAGAGGAATGACTAGTTACCTCTCCATATCTGCTAAGAATTGTTACTCGGAAGAATGGTACATTGGGATCAGGGAAATAAAGCCACGTGAATTTCTCCACAAATTCTGTCATCGGCTTTTCGAGACCTACACCAACGATGAATACCTTAAACAGGGATTTTCAGTACTACTTATGTTTAGAATAATCTAGAAAAACAACCTTATTATGATCAACATTGATTTCTGGGCAAATTTTCGTTTCTTTAACCAACAAGTCGATTGGCGCAGCATTGAGGAGAATGTCGTATTCGAGCTCTTTCACCTCGTTCGATTTTTTGTTTACGTATCGTACACATTTCGCACCAGGATCAATTCCAACAACCTGAAATGGTCCAGTAGACTAATCTAATGTAGTTTAACTTCTGCGATGTTTTAGAAAATTCTCCTCGAATTGTTTTGAATCAGCTCTGACTATTTCAACGTTTCAGAATAAGTATTCTGTTCAGAAGACTAACCGAAATTTACTTAAACGCTTTGAAAAGGCCAAAAAGGCTTTTCCACTTTTTCTTTATTATAATAGATCCATTATTATTTGCTGCATTGCTTTTAATAGCTGGGGCGAATAGTATGATTATTCTAAAAACGTTTACGCTTTAGCCTCCTGTTGCTGACTCATGAATGCCCGGTTTTTTCCACTTCCACTACTCTATGCACGATTTCGAGATTATAAGAGGATGGAAAAGGTATACTATCTTAGGATTTACAAAATATCTGTTTTCATGGAGAGAGCTCAATGTATGCGGCGTTCTCTTTAACTTCTAAGATAGGAAATCTACAAGACAGGAACCCTTCTACACCTTTTCGCAATCTTTTCCAGGGAACCACTAAATCAACGCATTTGAACAGTTAGAACGTTGAAGGATTTGACAAGTACTTTTGCTTTACCTATACTTTAAACATCAATATCCCCCTCTTTGGTAACTTTTTAACTATCATTCAAATAACATGATTTACAAGGAAGAATTGTAGCTAACACTGACGTTTCAAACTGTAATTGTAGTATTTTCTAATTAAGAAGGCCTAATTAATATTTAGTATTTACCTCGCTGTTGAATCTGAACCAGTTTTCAGGCAGTTTTTTTGCCATCGAATTCCATACGTTTCCAGTTCCTCCATATTTAGGGAATGTGAAACACGAGTTTGGTCCCCAGCCGAAATCAGCGGTCTAAATGCAAAAGTTTACAATTTTGAGAAAATTTACTTCAAATACTTTTGAAACTACCCAAGTCTTTTCCATCTAATATTATCTAAACTTACAGCTAGTTCCTCTTGATTCATAGCGCAAAGTTCTTCTAGCTTCTCCTGTGGTAGCTTAGCTACACGTGTTCCTACCCAATTTGGAGACATTTTTGTTGGTTCAACAGTCCAAACCTGACGAAGATAAGTTTTTCACCAAGTATGCAACTTTGTCTTTGCAAATTGCAACGTTTATTCGAATACCTTCTTGGTGTAGGGTTTGAAAAATACTTCCAAGATAGTGGGTCCAAAATGCTTCAAAACCCAGTCGTCAAAGTTCTCGGGTATACCTTCTGGTTCCTTAATAAGCATCCTTTTCTCTGTCATAAATAGGTGACTTGAACAACTAATATTACCTTATCATAGCGTTCCTTGAGATCCTTAAGACAATTTTGTTTGATTTCTTCTGGGAATAAAGGTACGGCGAATTGAGCTGGGTATGGGACTAGATGGATACCTGGGGTGCCATAAAGATAATTCATGTCGACCTAAAAGTACTGGGGTAACAATAAGCTAAAAGATGTGTCCTTAACTTGGAAGCTATTTTTCATAATTTTTACCAAATTTGTTCATTAAAAATAGGATTTATGAAAAGCTAGAATTTTCGCTAAGATATGTCAATAAGTCACTTGCATGACAGCTCTGAAGCTGTCCAACTTACCATGCAATTCCTTTGAAGACTATTCCATTCGTCTACTGCCCACTTGAC